TCGAACCCGCGACCCTCAGATTGTGAGTCGAGTGCCTTAACCACCTGGCCATGCCGGGCCACAAAGGGTGGAATATCGCCAGAATTGGCAAGATTAATGAAATGCGTATGTTTGTAGCTTCATAACTGACAATAGAAATGTGTTATAATACGTGTTATAGAAGCTTAATGAAATAGAAGTCTAAAGTTTAAAGCTTTAATGAAAAATTAGTATTATAATTTTTGTTGTTTTAACACACTTAATACGGTTATTGCATAAAGTTTAATGCATGATTAAACAAGTACAAGGAGGCCTCCCTTGTCTGTAATTAAGACCCCCAGTGGCACAGCGGAATGTCTGCGGACTTACAACGTTAGAATTCGGGTTCGATACCCATGGTAGGCAGAGCACAGATAGCCCATTGTGTAGCTTTGTGCTTAATTACAAACAATTTCTCTTAATTAAGAGACTGAATTTAGATAGCTAATTAATTGGTGTGTTCGTATTGACCACTTAAAGTTTAATGCTAATAGTTAAATATTAATCTAACCTTTATAGTGAATGTATTTTTAGCTAAATAGTTTTATCTAATGTTCATAATATTATTCCCAAGTACCAGTCTATACATTATTGCATCTGTTCTAAGAAGTCAATCATAAAGCTATAGTACAGATTCTCTTTTTTTTGTGAATGTTGTAATATAGGACTTAGAAATGTCTCTACGTGTGTTGCGGGTGTTTTTCTTGCATTAATTTCTACTAGAATACTGCCGTGACAATAAGCTAAAACTGTTGGTTGATGCTAAATTACTGAATGGCTTTGGCTTTGTTCCTTAACTTGATTAGATAACAGGTGGGGTGGGGGTACATTGACAGCCAACAGCAAAATACTCAAACTGAAGCTAAGGTGAGTTTGGTTGAATGTGTTAGACTTTGAATCCAGCTTTTAGTAAGGTGTTTTTCATCAAGCAGTGAAAAAGAAAGCTTCAGACAAAGAAGATTATTGTTTTTGCTGTTCCTATGTTTATATACCTCGCAGTCTGGTCAAGTTATAGAAAAAAAAGTCTGGTGTTTGTTCTTGCAACAACTATTTTTGTGCATCGTGACACAGTCCTCCACTCCAATGTTGACCAGCAGTTACGGTCCAAGTTATATAGCAATACTCGTGGGACGTTTAAACATAATGCTGTTTGAAGGATATGATTATAAGAAAACAATAATTTCTATGTTACTATGAAAAATGTACTATACTATAGAACAGTAAATTAAAACATTTACTGCTCCTTTGGAATTTTCAGTCTGAATGTTATACTAAATAGGATCAAGCAACTAACCTTGAAAATATTTTTTAAAGCATAAGTTGTTGCTTTTTTTAAATCAAGGTTACAAGATGGGCTCTCTGCGCTACGTCCACCGGATTGTAAATACGTAAACTTGTCGCTTTTTTTTTAATCATTTTTATATAATTCAGAGGAATTTAAAAATAATACCCCTTCCCCCATCCTCATTGGCTCAGCGGTGAGAGCATAGGCAAACAAAATATAATCAAGAACGATCTTTTTTTTTATATGGGTTCACCAAAATAAGGCATCTAGTGATAAGTCCCATTTAACCATTGCATGTGTCAAGCAACTAGAGAATAATGCAGTTATTCGTACTATTCCATACAAAAACATACTGGTCAAGTAGACAGATACAAATGCTTTGGATTTCTGTATAATCAGACTGTTGGAACAGGTGATAGGATACCGTACACTAGATAGATTATGGATGTTCTTTGGACATGACAACATTATGACAGAGCTTTCTGCATTTAAACTACACTGCAAGATTATTATCAAGGTGTACTGTCGTCAAATAGAGCATGACAATACATGGCGACAGAACACTAAAGCTTCTATAAACAAAGTCACAGATTGATGCAACTAATGTGGATAATGCAAGTTTCTGTACTGTATTTGCTAGTAGATTATTTTAGTTAGTGTAAGCTCTGAAATCCAAAGCTCTACTACAGAGCAAGCTCTTCTTTGTTATTCGAATTTATTGGATGGATAATTTTATATTAACGCCAGGTTACCTATTTTTATTACCGTCAAAGTCCAGTAGTAATTGTATATTGCATTTATAGTAAATCTACTAAGGCTTATCTGTCCCCATCCCAAATGTTTAAATACTGATCAGAGGGTACAGAACAAATCAGCAGCACCTTACCACCCTCTATCCACGCTAGAGGATTGTCTGTAGCTCTTTTAACGCACCCACAGCTTAAAATGCGGGAAATATTTTGGGGTACTGCACAGATTCGAGATCCAGTGCTCTGCCACAGGGCCAACCTGAGATCATATTGAATAGAGCCAGCAGCCTCTTCTGTTTAATATAATATTACTTATTGAGAAAAGACGTTTCAAATAATATATTTGTTTGTTGTTAGTTTATGTTTAAGCACAAAGCTGCACAATGGACTATCTGCACTGTGCCCATCATGGGTATTGAACCATACATTTTGGTATACAAACCCTCTAGATTACTGCTGAGCCACTGGAGGGGGGAGGGGGGTCTCAAACAAAACATTTATTTAAAATTTTATTAATCAAAGGTCAAAATTTCACAAAACCGAAGAATATGTCTTAAGCTTACGTGCATTGACTATTATTTCTTGATATACCAAATTTTACAGCTACATTGAACGAAACATGTACATACAATAAGATGTTTTTCCCCATCCCGTGATGAAAGCATGTCTGTCAATTAAGTTTTCATGTCGTAATTCTATAAATGGCAAACACACTGGATGGATTCTTTCAGTGAATTTAACAGGCTTGTCCAACGTTAAAATGGCGATATCGTTTTCGAAGGTTCGAGCCACATATTTCTCGTGATGCTTTATGATCTTAACTGAACGATCGATCGGTGAAGCATTGTCGTCGTCACTCGTCAAATCGTGTTCACCGAGACGAACTAATAGATCACTTGGTTCCAGTCTGGCAAAATACAACGAATAAATTGTGAATAATTTTTTACAAAATAACAAATACTATACTTCTTAATCTTCAAAAGGATTTCAAATTAAAGAATTAATATTTCTTAGACATATCTATCATACTTAACAAAGTGTTGTTATATTTATTATTTTCAGCACAACGCTGCACAATGGACTAGATACTCTGTGTCCGTTGCGGGTATCCAACCCCGAACATTAGCGTTATAAGCCCTAAAATTTACGCTTAGTCACCACGGAACACTACCGCTAGGAATATTTCCCAAATAGAAGTAGAATTGCGTGTTTTAATTGGTTAAAGCTCAGCCGTAATTCTTACTGTGCTAAAATTCGAGTTTCGATGCCCGTGGTGAGTAGAGCACAGATAGCACATTGCGCAGCTTTTATCTTAATAATAAAAAAAAACAAATATACAACTACATATTTAAAAAGTCATACACTTTAATTCTTAGGCATAAACAATGGGTTGGTCAAGAAAAATAGGTTTTTGTCAAATTATCCAACATGAAAGACATAAAAGAAAAACATGCAAGTTAATCCTCGTTTTTCATTGTACGTTTAAATTGCAAGAATGAACATAAAATATAATTAAATAACAATAAAACCCATTCTAGCAAACGCTGAATGACTAGTTTTTTATCGCAAAAAAATCTAACAAATGAAGGCAGAAAAATGTACTCACAGATTTGTACTTTCGAAGACACAGTGTGATGCTGTAATCACGTGTTTCTGAGTTATTAATGAGCCTCCACAGTATAAGTATTCGGCATATTTGCTTTTAAGAAAAATAGCAACCTAATACACAAATAATCTTCTTAAATGCTTGGAGAATTTTCTTGGGATACTATATATCACAAACTGTCAGAGTGCTCAGCGTAACAATACCCAAGAGAAATAAAAACATTTCTACACCAATAAATATAATTGGGTTTTTTAAATTCTAAAATGACATTTGTTTTGAGAGCATTGTCATAATATATATATATATATTAAAAGAATTAAGAACAGCGTATATTTCACTCATAGTTTAGTTGTGAAAAACAAAGAAATACATGCCAAAGTTAAACAACAAATATTTGTTCTTATGAAAATGGAGGAAATAATCAGCTAATGTTCTGCTTTAGAATGAGAGTTTATGTTCGCCCTTATCCAAAACAGTATTGTTAATTTTTCTATTTCAGAACATAAACAGCATAAAATCTAATTATAAGACATCAAATTTATTTTTAATTTTGAAACAGTAAAACTGGGAGTTTCAGATCTGTAAATGTAAATATTGATTATAAAGATTCTCAAGTATAATACTCAAATCTCATAAAATAATATTTTGAAATTAGGAATGATAGATACAAAAAAAACAGTTTATCTTTCATAGTTATTATGCATTATAAAAAGCAAATGCTCATATTTTTTCACGCACCCTCCAGGTGACTCAGCGGCAAGTCTGCAGGCTTACGATGTTAGAAATCATATTTCAATACCCGTCGTGTGAAGAGCATAGGTAGCCCATTGTGTAGCTTTGCGCTAAACAATAACTAAACCAATATCTTTACACTGTCACATTTTGTTTGTTTTACAGAGAACGGTAATAATACGGGGCTTGTACTTTCTTGGTAAGAGAATTAATTTCTAATTTTTCAATAGTTGTTTTTTTTTTTACACAGAACGTAATTTTCTAGATTTTCAGAAGAGTTTCTTTGTATAAAACGAGATTTTTTTCAGTTTCTAGTAAACGTTATGTGTTAGATTCATTTATTTAACTTTTCATTATGATTTGTTTGTATTATTAGGGTTTTTGTACAATAATGAAAATAACTATGTATAAAACTGTGTTAATAAAACTAGAAAACCACATTTATTATCGCAATATATTTATAAGATGCCCCCTACTGTACAGCGGTATGTCTGCGGACTTACAACGCTAGAAACCGGGTTTCGATACCCGTGTCGGGCAGAGCACAGTTAGCCCTTTGTGTAGCTTTGTGCTTAACTACAAACAAACAAACAAACAATTTATAAGACACACTTTTTATTTTCTCGTTGCTTAGATTACTTGTTTGTTTGTTATTAAATATAAAGCTACAAAATGGGACACCTGTTCTGTGCCCATCGCAAGTATAGAAACATGACGTTTAGCGTTATATGCCCTCAGATTTACCGCTGCTGGGGGAGGGGACTGGCTTTTTTATTGCAAAATATATGGTATTTGACGTTTTCATCATAATATATTCGTTTGTTTTGTGAATTTCCTGTAAAGTTTGTCGACGGCAATCTGAGATAGCTGTCCCTAACATACTAGATGGAAGACAACTACTCAACATCACCCACCGCCAGTTCTTGAGCCACTCTAATTGAATGATAAGATTGACCGTCATATTATAACGCCTTCACGGCCGTAAAGGCGGGCATGTTCGCAGATTATGAGTCGAACGTCCTAACCACCATGATAAGATTATAATTCATATATTTAAAATACATATTTTTCGTATCCTTCAGTGTAATTTACATGCAAAATATTTTATTATACTTTTTACTTGCGATTTATTATTAAGGTTTTCTTAATTTTTCCTGGCGCCGGACTACAGTTTTTTATATCGATTTAGTATAACTAGACGAGTGTTGCATATACTAAGATCTTAGTAGCATATAAATTACACTGAAGGATACGAAAAACATGTGTTTTAAATATATAGATTATAATCTTATCATGGTGGTAAGGGTGTTCGACTCATAATCTGCGAACATGCCCGCCTTTACGGCCATGAGGGCGTTTTAGTATAACTGGACGAGTGTTGCATATACTAAGATCTGTCTTATAAGTATCAATCCATAACAATTTGGTGTCAATTATATTTACTACTTCCGACTTTATTAGACTCGATAACTTCTTATGCTTAATATTGTAGATTTTACGTATAATATCTTACTTAGCAGGAGTTAAACTTTTCAACACATTTACACCTTAGATTACCTAGGGAATGACTTATGGTTGAAAATTATGCAACCAAAACTTTGTCTTTAAAAACAAAGCTGCACAATGGTCTACCTGCCCAGTGCCCAATGCAAGAGTCAAACCTGGAATTGTAACATAATAAACACTCAGACTTAACACTGAGTAACCGGGTACGTTAAATTTCAGTTTGAAAAGGAGAAGAAGAAAGGAAAACTGCCAATTACCATCCACGGCCAGGCTCCAACATCTGATATACGGCCACCTATAATCCTTGTAGTTGTAATGGAACGCCGTCCACATCCTGAGTTCAAAATAGTTTGATGTTAAAATGTGGTATATGCATCTATACATTATATACAAAGCAGGTTCGATAACTGTTTTCTCCTTGTGAATTAACAGCTAAACAATTTCCTACATATAAATAATGCGAACTAAAATTATCCAAAGAAATATAACTTAATAAGAATATTAATTTTAACTTAATCTCATTACGTAAGTACTGCTTCTATAATAGTTCAATGATAAACTTCATTTGATTTTAATTTATTGTAAAATATGTTGTTATATTATTCAAATTTATACGTTTGCCGATAATTGTGTTAAATTTGTTTTGGTAATTATTTATTGTCAATTTCTATTGTCGTTTGTTATTAAACACAAAGGGCTATCTGTGCTCTGCCTAGCACAGGTATCGAAACCAGGTTTCTAGCAGTATAAGTCCATAGACATACCGCTGTGCCACTAGGGGGCTTTCTACTGTTATTTTTTTTACTACATTTTTAAGAAAGATTATTAATATCAATATTACCTAAAAATACTTATGTTAAATTTTTATTGTTTATTTTTCCAGTTTTCTACTGTTACGGTTAATGTTATTGACTATTTTATGTCCTACAACGCATTCAGATCACAGTCAACAGGTTTCAGTCATGAAGCAGTATAATTGCACAGAATTTTGACTAATAAATGCTTTTATTAGGGTAAAAGTTTCTGCTCATTTGTTTTTCTTTCTTATATTGGTTATCTCATTAATGTATTTTGTGTTACGAATATGTTGTTTCAATGCTATGATAAATTTTAATACATCTAGTACACAGTCATTTGAAATATTAGCGTGTTGTAAAAGTAATAACACTTCAACTAGAGAACTATATGTTGTAAAAGTTCTGTACTTCATAACAATTTACAATATAACTATTTTTTAGGAAATTGAAACGTCAAATTGACATTCCCTATCACACTAATTTTTAGTAGGTTTGTACATAAATTTTACATTCTGACATAATATATTTCTGAAAAAAAAAGCTACTTCCTATAAAATGATCGCTTTACAAATATGCATCCAAGGGAAAAATAGCCGAAAATCTGTGAAAATGTATAATGGAAAGTAACATTTACAATAATAATGCTAGTTACACAAACCTTTGATATTGTACGCATAACTACATTGTTTGACATTCTATAAAAGAATAAAGTATAAAGAAAGCTTCCTTCACAAAAATTATATTTTTTATTCAAAACTGCCTATTTTTCGTGGGTTTTTAAAAATCACAAAAGTAATTTTGTTACTGCAAAAGGTGTGCTGATGTTAGATTATTCTATTACACATTACCTTGTTGTTCTAATTTAATTTCAAAGAAAAATCGACTTTATAACTTTATTTTTACTAAGTTATAAGTATTTTATTACCCCTTTCTAAAAAAATCACAAATTGAAAAAAACATTTTTAAAAATCAAATAACAGCTGTTCTTCATACATTAAATACTAAATTTTAATAAACTAAACAGGTGAAAAATTGATAATAGTCTGAGTCTGATATCAATTCCAATTAGCAAATACAAATTATTTCTAGTTGAATCAGTGGCGTACATAGCACAAAATAAGTTGGGCCCATTTACCGCTCTTTATTGGCATTTTACTAGAATACTGAGTAAATATGTTAAAACGCCCGTCTTTGGCATTTCATGTTAGTTAAATCGTCCACAATCTTATCCATGTTACATTTTCTTGATCGTGCTTGTTCTATGTTCAACATAACTAGTCCTTCTTGACACATTGTTCTTCTTATGTATGTTTTAATTAGCTTAAGTTTGGAAAACGATCTCTCAGCAGTAGCAACGGCGACAGGAATGGTTAAAAACAAAACATAGGCGGTGCAAATGTTAGGAAAATAAGGTGCTAAAGCAATGTTTTCAACAATGAGTAGGTGGGTTATCTCTTTGACTGAACTGATTTTATGAATGCCATTCCTAGGTGATGCTCGGAAACCTAGCATTTGATTTGGAAATGATGGCGATATGTAACTGCTCTGTGCTTTCTGGAACTCTTCTGCTTTGGCAAAAACCTCATCATCTGTTGTAAACACCAACATCTCTGGTTGTAAAATTCCAAATCTTTGTACAATTGCGTCTATGCCATGGAACCGGTTTTCTATCTGCTGCGTTACAATGTCCAAACAAGAATATTTTTATTCTGTATCTGTTAGTTTCTAATCCTCGCTTAAATCATCAAATTGCCGTTTAACTTTTCGGGCCCTCATTTCTTTGAATTTGCACTTTATGACCCACCTTAATACAGGAGAAACTGGGGTCTCCCTTGCATTCTCAAATTCATTACAGTAAGCTGTCAATGTTTCAATGACACTTTGAATATGTTTTGTGGTTTTCGTGAGATCAAATGATTCTTCCTGTAAAATTTTGAAAACACCATTCAGAGTTTCTAAAATTCTGTACTGAAGGTCTACTAGATAAACTGGATACGTTCACGCTTTTTTAAAGCCCCGTCGCTTCAGTTACTTCATCACTTTTTCCTGACAGAAGAATGATCCCAAACAGTGCTTTCAGTATGTACGTATATTTAGCGAAAACACAAAACAATAAGAGACTCGTAACGGGATGACGATCGCGTTTGACACAGCCTTTTAAGGTGGACCCTTGACTCACTCGCAAAAGAGGAAAGAATCGCCCATCGTTTATCATTCAGCAAAAAAAATTTGTTCAGGCTCTGCACCAGATAAAAAAAAAACACGATACTTCAGAGGTATTCACAACTGAATCATTTAGTGTGAAATTATAGTTAAAATATTCATAGAAGGCAAAGGCTTGGAGTTAAATGTGTCAGAGACAAGACTTTGATATAGAGCAGCAACAATGAGTGGCGTTTATAGTTGTGTACAAGCTCGAATCGCTGCAAAAGAGCCGAATGTTCTTTATGTACACTGTGCAGCACAAAATCTAAATTTGGATCAAACCACTTCAGGCATTGAATCCCCAGTTTCAACAAAACCTAAAAGTTTTCGTTCATCTTTACAGCAGTTGGTCTGTCATTTTCATACTCAGTACTAAAATAACGAAAAATTTGGTTCATTTGGGCAAAGTTGCTAGTGTCCTTCGTTGTATCCATTATTAATTAAATGAATAATGCTAATTTTATTTCATTCACAATATGTCTTTCAATACTTTTAGACAGAACTTCCCTAACTTCATTCTGACCTCTGGGGCTTAGATATTTAATTATGTTTCTCGGTAACTTTATGAGCTGTTTCAACATTGGATCATATCCGGCTAAGAGTTGAGTTACAGACAAGAACTTGCCCTGGATTTCCATCTCCAAGGGTCTCCCTGTGTCCTCTGAGAGGCAGGCTGCACATAGATAAAGTTCGCGTTCCATTAACAACTCGCTTCAGAACTTGTCTCCAAAACTCATTTCTTGCCGGATTACAACTTCACTATATGTATCTACGGTGCGACTAAGTCTCCAATGGTTGTAAACAACGCAAGAATCTGCTTTTGTTGTGTAATGAGAGTGATGTTCTGAAAAACACTAACCGCCTTGTCCTTTATCCCTTTCGGTAGGCATGATCAATCCATGGTCTATTATAAACCGCTTAATAAGAAAATAAACCTTACTAATGGATATTCCTCGTTACAATAATCATCAATCGCAACATCGGTGCCCTCATTTTCTACTTCTTTTTCAGTTGTTGTTTGTTCCTCACTGTGTGTTTGTAGTAGGCCTACTTCGATATTTTCGCAGCTTGTACTAGCTCCAGGCTGTTTAGTATCATTCACTTCTTTCTCTCTTTCGACACTGCCATGTTTTAAAAAAAAAACAGTCAATTCTAGGAAGTTTCCGGGTTTTTCATTCTTCCTCCTTTTTTCTATTTTTATCTTTAGTGGTCCACTTTATCGACATGTGAGATATTTTGTCTGCCTGCTTCGGGTTTTGCTAAAAACTATCGCCACGACTGTGTGTACAACGACAAACTAATGAATACAGACTTTAAACCCTGTTTCCCGCGCTTTGACTGACTTGTGCTACAATCTTACGATTGGAACGGAACAGCAGCTTTCCCAACTAGCTATTTTCCCCTCATACATGGCCAAAATACAATCCTAAGAATACATTGTTAAGAGATACGTCTTCTACTAGGGGTTTTGAATGTTACGCTTTAAATTGTAACAACTATTCCAAAGAGATAAACATGTGATATATCAGAGGTTTCCTCAATCTACAAAGGACAAGGAGAAGTGAGTACCAATTAATTTTAAAAATTTTAGTTCTGTTAACATATGATTCACTGCCAACGGTGTAGCATGTGCACCCAGTTGAAATACTTGTATATATGTATATATATTGGCATGTTGAAATACTTGTATATATGTATATATATTGGCATGTTGAAATACTTGTATATATGTATATATATTGGCATGTATATATAAGAAGTGAAAAAAATAATATGAGGGATTATTGTGATAAAATGTATATCTTAATATATAATTTATCTTTATTGAAAGTTTAACTATATTAATGATAAGTGTGATTGTTATAAGTGTAAAAATAATAGAAAATGCTCATATTTGTGTATGCTTGTTAGTTTTAAATAAAGAATGACTTACTGATCTACGGAATAATGACAGAATAATGAAGTAGCCAAGATACAACAACATACTGTTACTACAGCGGAAGGCACGCGACGCTGGAAGCATGCGCGCTGGAGTTTCTAGAAGGATCGAGACTTTTCCTGGCACCTCTTGTCTGTTCCTAGCGCCCTCTTATTTATTATATAAGCCCGGCAAATAAAGCGGAGATATAGCTGCAGATAGATAGATATAGAGACAGATAATTGAGTCAAGCGAAGGTAGTGACGGTAATATAAAGTGTGTGTTTTGTTATCGAGATTGCAAACGTATTGACTATGGAAATTCTGTGTATTGCAAAGTAGTATCGAGAAAGAACAAACTAATTTTAATTAAGAAAGGACTTGTATCGCTGACGTTTCTCGGAAAGACTTTCAA